GTCACTGGTTTGTTCAACCCATCGAACGACCACTCAGTAGTTACCCGGTTATGTCGATCGACTGACCCACCTAGCAGAACTTCCCAGTCAGGTAGTCCTACTCCTTAAGTCTGACGGACAACTTTTGGTTAGTTGTGCTTGGTTGCGATGCTTGCAGAATCCATATTCACATAAGAGTTGCCTCCGGACAGCGGAGAATGATGTGAACATGAAGTTTCCTGACCGTCAAAATCCGTTGGACGGCCCGTGGACTGCTTTTTCCAGGTTAGCCCAGGATTCAGTCTGCTAGCACGCGCGAGTTTTCACACGGAACTGGATATGAATGCTATTCGGCAATGGCCAAAGTCTGATAATCCCATTGCTGTGTGCACCAGCTGATTTCCACTATTCGGAAGAACATTCACAACCCCTCAAAAACTGACCACACGTTGGATTAGGAAAGGGTTGGATCTCGGTTACTTCCCTTCAGTGACAGCGGTAAACTGGCATTCAGTACTAAGACTAAGCTGGAAATCAGGTGTGGGGAAGGAATTTGGGCATGGGATTCCAAGTCTTATTGAGTGAGGTCCACCAGCAGAAGATTCGTGGGGGTTAGGCTAAGATACACACGGGGCAGCGGTAATAGTTAACCAAACGCAAAATGGATTGCAAGGGAGCGGGTCATGGCGTTAGTCTGATAACTTCTAATTTGTTTGGGTCTGGTCGATGACCGAAATGGTCGATGTGGGAACCTAGGTAATTGGTACCGAGCATCACTGGCTCATTATCTAGTGGACCATTGGGAAACCCACGTGTGAGTAGTGACCTTCAGCTGCACAGCTTATGATGATCGCATCTGAAACCCGAAGAACAGAGTATCCATCATCTGATGAAATATTGCTGGGGTAAACTCGAACCCATGAAAACCGAGTGTTACGGTAGAGGCCTCGATGTGCATTGATGGTGAGTAATTTCCCATCAATGCCTCTCAACTACTACCTGTGTAGCGGTGATACTACTGATTGGGAGACATGCGAGTAGTATGTTTTCTTGTAAATTCGACTTGCGTTTAGTTATTGTAAACAAGATGCATATGGGAGTCTTGCATCCCTATCCAATAGTCTGTAACTGTTCAGTTGGCATTTTCTAATAAATAACTCCTCAGCGATGGCCTTCTTCCTTTTGCCTGTATGCGCGCACCAGGTTGGTCAACTAAGTCTGGTGGAAAAGTTCAACCGGCATTAGCTTTTTCTGATAACTACAATAGGTGCGACCTACGATGAAGGGTCACCGAAAAGGGGACTCCCGTGGATTCCAGTTGGTCAAGTTCTGCATCTGTTGCTTCAACAGAAGCATTTGCTAATTGCCGATTTGGATAAGATACTGCGTTTAGACACAGGCAATGTACAGATTTCATTTCATAGCACCTTCCAGAATCCCCTACAAAACTGCCAGAATACTTAGACTCAGAATGCGACAGAGATTCCGCATCACCTTTAAGAACAACCAGTGTAACTGAACAGAGAAATTCGGCGTGATATAACGAAAAACTATGTGAGCAGATTCATTTTTGTCCATCAAATCAATGCGCAATCGTTTC